ATATATTTTAATCTTTTTTAATTATTTCTATATTAAATGCAAAAAATCTGAAAAGACTGAAAATTATAATTTAAGTCAAATTCAACTTTTTCAAATAAGATCAAGCCTAAAATTCTTTTAAGAGTTGAGTTCGTGCTCCATAATTGAGCTCGAGTCAAGCTCGAGTTCGAGAGTACAAGAAGAATTAAATGAGCTCATATAAGCCCGTTTAAACCTCAATTCTTTACTAATTATATTGGACACAGAATATGAGTTTTGTGCGTGAATTTGACTTAGGTTTCATTTGAACAACTTTATTATTGCTTTCTTAAGTACCTTTTTAATAAAAAAAATTTTAGTTCAAAAAATTTCTATATTAAAAAACTTCTTTAAAAAGCATTTAAAAAGCTGTCCCAACAAAGTAGCCAAATGTCCAAAAATAATAATTCCATTGAGCTATCGTCATTTAGACGCCATGCTTACACCATCAAAGAGTAGCAAACAAAAACACTCCCTCTGTCTGTTCGGCCAGAAGCAGTGAGAAAAGCAATTAATTAATCACGTTCCCATAATTAAAGCCCAATCCGTCTTCCGTTCTTTAGCTCATTCAACCAAACATATTTGCATTCTAATTCCACATAAAAAACTATTATTGACAAACAGCTAATGTCGTGCTAATATATAAAATAATTTAATATAAACATATAAACATATTCAGTTATATTTTTTATTGGAATTCAATTCAATTTTTTTGAATTTATTTTGATAGTAATATGATATTTTGATGTTCATATTAAAATATTTGGAGTAATTTAAATAAGTACAAATAAAAGAAGGTGATTAATTTTTTGTATGATTTGAATTAAAATAAATGTGGTATAAAGCCCCACAAAAATAGTGGTTGGTGATAGGGGTGGGCAACAGACAAGCAGGCTGGCGGAGATGTTGGCCATAAACTGCTAGCGATGAGGAGACTTGTACAATTGCCAAGGATGGAGGGCGGCGGCCAATAGTTGCTTATGGTTGCAGTGGCGTTGGTCGACGACAACGGTGGTAGAAAGTGGTGGTTGGCAGCGATTTTGATGTTGGCTATAGGCGTAGCGTTGGTAGTAGGTGTGGGTCCGAGTAGGGTTTTGGGTGGTATCACAAATTGACACCCCTATCCCTTACTATAAGTTCTAGCATCTTGTCTCCCACCATACCTCAGACCATCCAAGGTACCATCACCTCATCATTCCCCACCTCAACAAATATCATGCCTGCCTCACACTACACATTCTAGCCTAGATGAAGTCACTTCATACTAATTCTTCTCATCCAAGCTCTTCGACCACAACCTTACTACCTTCCTCCCACCACATGACCATTAAACTCAAAAGTGGTATCACCAAACCAAAGCAAATCTTCAACCTATCTCATATTCTTCACCATGTTGACCCCACCACATATCTAGAAGCATCTAAGAATGTACATTGGCTTAAAGCAATGTCTCAAGAATTCTAAGCTTTATAATCACAGGCACCTAGGAGTTGGTACCACCATCGCGTGAGAAGAACATACTTGGTTGCCGCTAGACTTACCATACTAAGATGAATTCAGACATGCCAGCTGCTTGATACAAAGCTCGATTGATAACTTAAGGATTCAATCGATAGCATGAACTTGTCTATCAAAAAACATTTATCCTCATGGCTAAAATGTCTACAGTTCGAGTCTTCATTCTCATTGCTCTGCACTATTAATGGCCCATCATTCAACTTGACGTCTTTAATGCTTTTCTACACTATCATCTATAAGAAATGTTGTATATGAAAAAGCCTCCTAGTTTATTCGATCAAAACCATCTGCATTATGTCTGCAGATTATGGAAATCCATCTACGGCTTGAAAGAATCTCTGTGATAGGGGTATGCCACCCTTTAGACACAACTACAAGTCTTCAATTTAAAATTTAGTGATGATGATCCATCACTCCTAACCTGTCAATCCAGCTCCATGCTCATGTACATTCTCATCTACATCAACGATATTTTACTCATCGACAATGATCAACCCACTCTATAAAGTCTTCTCCACAGCCTACAATCCCAATTTTCCATGTGTAACCTCAGTTCCCTTCCACATTTTTTAGGCATCCAAGTCCCCTCCACCTCATATGGTCTTAAGCTCACCCAAACCCAGTATGCTCAGTATATATTTTTAAACCGAGCAAGAATGCATAACTCCAAGTCAGTATTCACTCCCAGCACTTTCAAGAGAACAATAACTGACCTAAACACAGTTGATTTTTCTAATTCGCACCTATACCGGCAATTAGCAAGCTTTTTGAAGTGCTTGACTCTCACCTAACCTGATATCACATTTGTTGTCCATTAGGAATGCCAACACATGCACAAACCCCTCATGGGTCACTTCGACACACTCAAAAGACTATTGAGATATATTCGAGGATTAATCTCATACATGTTGTCATTATACCAGGATACTCTTACTCTACAAAGTTGTGATAATTTTGAATGGGTAGGATACACTCAAGATCGCAAATCTACCTCAGGAAGCTTTAACTTCTTGGGCAAATCTTTGATATCCTATCAAGTTAAGAAGCAGACAATAGTAGCTCACTCATCCACTGAGGCGGAATATACAGCATTGGAAGCATCAACTTCTAAAATAATATGGCTAAAGTGTCTACTCGCTGATTTTCATCTACCTTCCACTATCCCCACTCTATTATATTATGATAACACTTCAGCAATTGCTCGAGAAAAAAATATAGTGTTTCACGCTGGCACAAAACACATAGAAGTGGAATGTCACTTCATTTGCGACTACATTCAAACTAAACAAATTATTGTGCATCACATAGCTACTCTTGATCAACGCATCGCTATCTTCACTAAATCACTACAATCTCTCAATTTTAGGCTATCTCCAACAAACTAATTGCAGCTAGCACTTCATCAGCTTGAAGGGGTATGTAACAACAATGTGCAAGTAATGCAAATAGTACTGATGTACATGGAACTTCAAGCCACTCAAATTTTCTATCACATACCAAACAACTGTAATGTTTCTCTCTAACAAACTTAGTATAAGTTTGTTAACAGCTACTATATATATATATACTCTATACCATGCTACTAAAATATCGATTGAAATAGATAAGAAATACTAAGCTTCTTCAATTACCAATTCTATTCTTCCTTGTAGAAATTTCCTTTTCAAGTTATCAAAAGCAATATGTTGATATCATCATCAACAATGGTTGACTTCTAGCATTTCTTCGACTCCCTACAAAATGGATTGACCAGCACTAGCTCTCTCATCCTTACTTTCCTAGATGGAGGGAAAAGTAGTTAGGTTGATAGTGATCATATTAGACATATCAATGAAATCAATCAATTGACTTCTAACATTTCTTAGACTCTCTGAAAAATGGATTAATCAGCTATAGCTCCCTCCTCCTTACTTGCCTGGGTGGAGGGATATATTCTTTGTCATTGTTAAGGTTGTGATTGTGATTAATGATGGGTATTGAAGTTAAAAGCTCACTATATGACATTTTTTAAATGGCTGACGAGTTGGATGATCCTTTTGGGATACTTTCTTGGGGACTTTCTCTGAACTCCCACTAGTGCTCCTTGAATCATATAAGTGATTTACTCATCCATCTCGATCAATTCATGATAAGTTGTGTTGTTCTAGTTCTTCATGTTCACTGATGACTCTTAGGATACTATAAGCATATCAACTTTGAAGGTCATTTGTTCATTAAAATAGTGTCGTGATGTTGATAACTAATTTCTTGAGTGCTTGATTTATGCTCTTGTGACTTAGAATTGAGAGGCAGCATTGGGTTAGTTTAATTAAAAATTTCACTTCAACTGCAAGTTTCAAGAAAACTAAGTTTGTATATATTTAGGGTATCAAAATGGGTTATTGGGTTGAGTTCGGGTTCAACCTGAAATTGATCCCCCCTCAACTGATCCAGGCTAGTTAGACAAAAGGGTCAGAAATACAAACTCGGGCCCGACCTGCCTCTTATTTAGGTTGACCCAACCCCGATCTGACTTACAACATGCGAGAGGTATCACGTGAGCATTAAGCGAGACTGCACAAGCACAGGTGCTAGCGAGGGCGCGACTGCGAGTAAGTGAGGGGTGAGTGCATGCCTCGGGGCGCGAGCATGATAGAAGTGTGGGTGGTTTTTACAGTGCGGTGCGGGGGATGCTGGTCGTACTCTGGTTAATTGCGGGTTGCTGGGTGGACTCAAACACTACTTGATTTCTAAAACGGGCGAAAAATTAGGACCAGAATCCAAGCTGTTTATTAAATGGATCGACCCGAACTCAGATTATTCGGGTCAAATTTTTGAGTAGTGTCATGAATTGACACCCTTATATATATTAAAGTCAAACTTGATAATTTATAGTTCTCATTCTTGCTTCAATACCTACGTCTTATTGTGTAGATTTTTTGGTGATGTATTAAGGTTAATATAAGCTAATACAAATGAAAAAATTTATACATATCTCTAAAAAATATTTAAACTTATCAAATAATATTGAAAAAATGGATTAAATTAATCTGGCTCTATTTTTATCACGCGTCTTAAAAAATTGACACATGCTAAAAATTTTATTATATTTATTTTATTTATAGTATATAAATATCTAAATATTTTATATACAAATAAAATATTAAAATCTATTAAAAATAAAAAAAACCATCTTAAAATTCCTAAAAAAATCATTATAGTTTATACAAAACAAAAATATATAATTTCTATTTTACTTTAATCTAAATAAATTATTTTGATCTTTATCCTTATTAGGAGCTCTCTTTTTTTTTTTACTTCTACTCTTTGAAAATGATTGCGTGCGCTTGAGCTCAGCCTGACGAACGCACTTCTCATGGAGCTTTCATGGCTTCCCATCCACTCGAATCCAAGGAAAATAAGCCATAGGAATGTACAGATGAAACAAGAGAAAAATCCAAAACCTCGACTTTCCTCTATAAAACTCTTTTCTCCTCCACCTCCAAACTCCCCATTAAGAGCCTTTTTCCTCAAAAATTGCCTGCCAATTCAATAACAGAGAATATATAGAGATGTCTGAAACACAGGAGATCCCCATTTTTCTTCAGAAACCAAGACGCGTAGTGAGGAAGTTCATGGCGAGGCCGCAGCATGAGGGTAATGGCGCCATCGTCAAAAGAAGCATTGGGAGGTAAGATTTCTTACGATAAAATGTCTTCTTTTACCTCTGACTACTGGTTTTATGATCCTTTCCTTCTTTCAGATATGAACTGAAATATTTCGACCCATTTCTTGTTCTGGATGAGTTTTCAGGTGCGTTTTCGTGTTTTCAGTATCTCAGTTCGATATGTGGGTTGAGAGCTTTGACTAGAATCAGAAAAAAAAAAAAAAATCTTTGTCTCCTTAATCGCTTTGTAATAATCTTTGAATTATGCAGTTGCGACTCCTGCTGGATTTCCTGATCATCCACATAGAGGTCAGTAGCTTAGAAAATTCTTATTTTGCAAAGAAGTTTCTTCTCATTGCTTGTTGTCTTCTTCTGTTGCAGGTTTTGAAACAGTAACTTATATGCTTGAGGTAATTCGAAATCTTCTAATGGCAACAATAAGGAGAGTAACAGAGCTCTCTCAATCTATCTGATAACATTTAATACTCTCGAATTTATTATTGTTTTTTTATGTTATAAGGGAGCTATAAAACATGAAGACTTTGAAGGTCATGTGGGGATACTAAGAACTGGTGATCTTCAGTGGATGACTGCCGGCCGAGGGATTGTTCACTCAGAAATGCCATTAGGATCGGGGATTTCAAAGGGATTGCAGCTTTGGATTAATCTATCATCAAATAACAAAATGTGAGCATAAAAGTTAGAAATCAACCTTTATTTTATTTTATGAAGAGCACCAAATGGTAGATAAGATTATAGAGTGCCATCTTAGATGGTTTGATCATATAAAACGTCGGTCATTTTGATGATCTGATTTGAAGAGCTATGTTAAGAAAGGTAGAGTTAGGCCTAAAAATTTTTATTAGAAAGTACTAGAAATCAGTTTTCTTTATTAGATTTAAATGAAGATTCATATAACAGATCCCACATAGTCAACTAATGACTTGCTATTGTCGTTTTGTGGGCATCAATTTTTTAAATTTATGTTGAGATTAGTACATTACTTTTTTTTTTTTTTACAAAATGGTTCAAAAAGTTTATTACAGTTGTCCTAATTATATTAAAAAAACTGCTTAGGATATTTTGACAAAAATTATTATGGATTTCAAATCTATTTAATTTGGTAGATTCCTTATATAGTGCACTCATCTTAAAGTAAGTCAACTAATTATAAGACTCGTCTTCATTGGAATTTGTCGCAGAAAAATTTTTAACTAGAATTTTTAATTAAAAAGTTGCTTTAAATAGATATAAGAAAACTGCCCCAAACAAAACCATAATCTTTATTCAAATCCAACTTGTAATAAGTTGGATAAAGCTTCGTTTGGGACAACTTTCGTATTGCTTCCTAAAACTATTTTATAGCATAAAATTTTCTAATTCATTTTTTTTTACTAGAAAGCTGTTTTAAAAAACAACAAAAAAGCTGTTCGAAACGAAGCCTAAATCTTGTGAATTGGTAGTAGCATCTTACATCATTAATTCAGACAGCTTTCTTACTGCTTTCTAAAATAACTTTTTAATATAAAAATTTTTTAACTAAAAAGTTGCTTTATAAAATAATACGAAACTATCCCAAAGAAAGCCTTAATTTCTATATAATTAACGTATCTAATCGTAACTATAAAAACAATTTGCAGGATTGAGCCTAAATACCAAGAAATGAAGAGAGAGGAGATCATGACAGCCTCAACGACTGACATCAACGTTCGCGTCATTGCCGGCGAGGCAATGGGAGTTCTATCGCCGGTGTATACCCGAACTCCGACGATGTACTTGGACTTTACTCTTATGCCCTCAGCACATCTTCGTCAACCTATTAACCCTACGTGGAATTCCTTTGCTTATATCCTCCAAGGTGAGGGCATCTTTGGCACTGAGAAATCTGATCCAATAGGTCCTCATAACCTTCTTCTGTTGGGCCATGGTGATGGGATTGACGTGTGGAACAAGGCCATAAGACCTCTACGATTTGTGCTTGTAGGAGGTGAGCCTTTGGGAGAGCCAGTGGCTCAATTTGGTCCATTTGTGATGAACAATGATGAAGAGATTGATCAAACCATTAATGATTTTAATCTTTGCATCAATGGATTTGAGAAGGCTAAACATTGGAAATCAACTGAGCTGATGGGTTCTTAAATATATTGTGTATTAGTAGCATGTTTGAGAGCTTTTCTTTTTCATTGAATAATATGATTAAATTGTTCAAATGTTTTCATGTTTTTTACAATGATTAAAATATAATGTTTATGAAAATTTCATTTTAATATTTTTGAGTTTAATTGTAGTCATATGTGAGAATCTTAGAATTGGTGATGACATGTTTTTTTTAAGATAAAACTCATATATAAGGGCTTATGCATTAATTCAACAAAAAATAAAAGAGCCCTGTAAAAATACTGATGTTAAGGTTAAAATGATCCAGCCAATGCAAAAATGATCTATGACCAGACACAAAAGACTTAACAACATAAAAGAACCAAACCCCAGCAAGCACAACCTACCACAGACCTGGAACCACCATCAGGAACGAGCACTATAAGGAAAATAGCTAGAACACTACCAACCAAACTAGCCTAAAAAAGCACCAACAAGGTTAGAGCACAAACACAATGCCAACATAGTAAAGACAGGATATAGCCAACCAGGACAATCCACACCTAGGTCAAAATATCTGCATAAAAAATGAGACATTCAGAAATAAAAACCAAAAACTAAGACAATAAAAAGCTAAAAAACTCCAAACAGAAAGCAAGTGCCAAACAGAACTACCCCCAATCAGCACAAACTGGAAAATATAGCAGGAAAGAAACCCGAAGATGAAGATGAAAGGGAGAAAGAAATCGACTCAGATGAGTGTAGTATCATTAGTGTCCAACCTTTGGGAAATTTGACAAACAACAACCAACTTGGGCTAAATACCAACAAAGATAAAAAAACCAAGAAGCAGCCCACTCCCAACAAAACCCCAAATTTAAAAAAAAAAAAAAAAAAAAAAAAAAAAAAAAAACATGCCACAGATATAAGTAGAATAGAAAAAAAAAAGACCAATATAATCTAGGACGAAAAATCCAAAATAAACCCTAAACATCAGCCACTACATACCAATAGAGAACTCCATGCACCAACAATTAGAAAGAATATATAATCCAACATATCAACTGTCACAAGGTAAATTCTCAAGCATTAAGAAAAAATTGTATTCATAGCCATAAATTCTGCCTAAACATCACATGAAACAACACCAGTTCAACTCAACAAAAATCAGAGCTAAACCATTAGAATACAAATTCAAGATAGCAAACATCCTACAAAAGTTGCCCCCCCAAAACAAATTTGTAAGGAAATTTAGACGGATCCAACATATAATAACACTAATTAAGGGATAAAACAAATAAAGACAAAAATGCCATCGTCATCATTAAAAGAAAACAATTAATAACATTATTAACAACAAAAAATACCACTCTAAGGATAATATAAGCAGAGGGAAAAGGATAAAGCAAAGGAACAAGAAATAAATCAAGCGAAAGCTAAAAAAGCAACTCAGAAGCCTTCCAATTAGAGAGAGTGTACACATGATTTTCTTAATCATTAGAAATAAGTTTAAGAGAAGAAATAGATCTAGTGATTCTAACCCCAAATGAAATATTATTGTTGCTTTTATTTTTATTTTTCCTCTTTTTCTTACTGAAGCTATAGAGAAATTACCTTTGGCAACATGAATAACATTTAAATGAACATCTTTATGAAAGACACCTTCATCTGCATAATAATCTCTCCCTTTTCTAAAAGAGAATAAAAAAAGGACAGAAAGGCAAACACCCTACAAATTAGACTAAGTTACACTAGAAGAAGAGGGAGAAATAGGAATGGAAATTATGAGTTGTAAATTAGAGATGTCTACACTACTAGTAGATGGAACATAATCAATAAAAGGAACCATTTGATTACATATTTGAATTTCTGGAGTAGTATTAGCATTAACATAGACTGGTTTGGATCAATAGCAATAGAGGATGGAGGTTCAACAGATTTAATATATTCAAAATTCAACTCAACATCCCTAGAAAATGGGGGAATTTTTTTATTAAGTAAAGGAGATGATTCTAAATTTGGGTTAATAGCAACAATCAATAAATGTTCCACAATATCCTCCATAAGGTAATCCAAGGTAGCGGGATCTAGCATCACATGATTAGGAAACCTTCTTGAATATTACTATGATTAGTGGAAGAGAGATTAAAAACCATTTGAACACCATTCACAATCTTTTCTATGGGGATAATATTAGAAGTCCAAATTATTAACATTAACAACATTTCCTTCATTAGTATTTATCACCAATTGAGTGAAAGCCTCCACTCTAGGTTTTATATTTTGTTTTCTAAGATGAGGATGGAGAATTAAACATACGACAGTGTCATGATCATGAATTTTACAATGACTAAAAAAAAAACGTTATCAAATTCCACCTTTTGTAAAGACCTTGAATTTTTAGGAAGCAACCTTAATTCTTTTCGATACTTCTTAGTAGTATTAAGTTCAATTAAAATCCTAGCAATAGATGGCCTAGACATTAAGTTCGATTTATAACTTGTAAAATATTTGTGAAACAACTACATTGTTGATTTTATTAACCTCTATATTCTTTAGCCAAATATTATTTCATATAAGTTTATTAACCACATACATTTTTTTTTTCAATATTGGTTATGAATATCTAAGGCAATCAAAATTTACAATGCCATCAATTAGTTAAGAGCAATTATAATGTTAAAGATGGAATTAAGTCAAGTTTAAATAAGCTAATTTCTAGCCATATTTGACATTAACATCAAATCAACTAGCTAATAAGATTTGGTCATAAATGGCTTTAATTGTAATATTCATAAGAATCAATCATGAATGAAGGATTCATGAGCTTCTGATCATATAATTGTAGATATCTCATATTTCACATAATATGTGCATCTTTCTAGGAGTACTCAATAAGAATTATTAACATATCATCATTTGTTATTATAGGCAATGGAAGAATCAAAATATAAGATTATATATCCCTAAACTTAGTTATAATTCAAATTTTTGAATTTATTTTAATAGTAATATACTATTTTTATATTAATATTAAAATATTTGAAGTTATTTCAATAAGTACAAATAAAAAAAGGTGATTGATTTTTTCTATGATTTAAATTAAAATGAATGCGATATAAAGCCCCACAATAATGGTGGTTGGCGATAGAAGTGGGAAACGGGCGAACAAGAGTTGGCCACTAGCTGCTAGCGATGAGGGGACTAGCACAATTGCCAGTGATGGAGGGCGGCGGCCAACAGTTGCTTATTGTTATAGTGGCTAATAGTGGTCTTGGCCAACAAAGATGATGCTAGAAAGTGGTAGTTGGCAGTGATGTTGACGTTGGCTGCAGGCGTAGCGATGGCAGTAGGTATGTGTTACAATTTATTAAACTATCAAAAAATATTTTGAATTTAGAATTATAAAAAAACCTTTATTGCTCCTTGGATTTTGTAAGTGATTTACTCATCCATCTCGATCAATTCATTATAAGTTGTATAGTTCTAGTTTTTCAGGTTCATTGATGACTCTTGAGATTCTATAAACATGTCAACTTTGGAGATCATTTGTTCATTAAAATAGCATGGTGATGTTGATAACTAATCTCTTGAGTGCTTGATTTATGCTCTTGTGGATTAGAATCAAGAGGCGTGATTGGGTTAGTATAATTGAAAATTTCACTTCAACTACAAGTTTCATGAAAACTAATTTTGTATATATTTAGGGTGTCAAAATGGGTTATAGGGTTGGGTTAGGTCCAACTAGAAATTTATCTGCCTCAACTGATCCTACATGATTAGACAAACGGGATAGAAATTCATACCCGAACTTGACTTGCCCCTTATCCAGCTGGCCCGACTCAACTTGCAACCCCCGAGTGTGATCACATGAGCGTCGAGCAAGACTGCGTAAGCACACGTGCTAGCGTGAGTGCGATCACGAGCAGGCAAGGGTGGAGCGCTGGCCATTGGGGAGAGCGCTGGCCGTGAGGGAGAGGCAGGCGAGCGTGATAGAGGTGCGGGGTTGCTTTTGCGGTGCGGTGTGGGACTCTGGTGAATTTCGGGTTAGTGGGTGGACTTAAATACTACTCGAATACTAAAACAAGTCAAGAAATAGGATCAGAATCCTAGCTGTTGTTAAATGGGTTGACCTCAAGCTCAGATTTTTCAAGTCAAATTCGAGCCGAATTTTTTTGTCATGTCATTAATTGACCCCCTTATATATATTAAAGTTGAACTTGATAATTTCTAGTTCACATTCTTGCTTTAATACCTATGTTTTATTTTGTAGATTTTTTGGTGTTGTATTAAGGTTAATATAAACTAATACAAATGAAAACATATATACATATCTCTAAAAAATATTTAAACTTATCTAATAGTATTGAAAAAAATTGGATTAAATTAATTTGACTCTATTTTTATTACGATGTTCTTAAAAAATTGACACTTTCTAAAAATTTTATTTATTGTATATAAATATCTTAGTATTTATAAACAAATAAAAAAATCAAAATCAATTAAAAATAAAGAACCATCTTAAAATTTCTATAAAATCATTATAGTTTATACAAATAAAAAATATATAATTTCTATTTAACTTTACTTTATATAAATTAAGGGGAATGGCGCCATCGTCAGGAGAAGCATTGGGAGGTAAGATTTCTTATGATAATCTATCTCTTCTTTTTCTTTCTTCAGAATATATGAAGGGGTTATTTACCTCGACTGGTTTTATAATGCTTTCTTCTTCCAGATATGAGCTGAAATATTTCGATCCATTTCTTGTTCTGGATGAGTTCTCAGGTGCGTTTTCATATGTTGCTCAGTTCTTCGTCTATAAAAAAAAGTTCTTTGTCTCCTTAATCGCTTTGTAATAATCTTTGAATTATGCAGTTGCCACTCCTGCTGGATTTCCTGATCATCCACATAGAGGTACGTAGCTTAGGAAATTCTTATTTTTCAAAGAAGTTTATTCTCCTTGATTGTTGTCTTCTTCTGTTGCAGGTTTTGAGACAGTAACATACATGCTTGAGGTAATTCGAAATCTTCTAATTGCAACAAGAAGGAGAGTAACAGAGCTCTCTCGATCTATCTGATAACATTTAATACTCTCGAATTTATTATTATTTTTTTTATGTTATGAGGGAGCTATAAACATGAAGACTTTGAAGGTCATGTGGGCATACTAAGAACTGGTGATCTTCAGTGGATGACTGCCGACCGAGGGATTGTTCACTCAGAAATGCCATTAGGAGCGGGGATTTC